TGAATCTCAACAGGCCATGAAGGCTCCTTCCTTGTAAATGGGATTAGATACCCTTATAAAACGGCTTGATGGAGACAGTTTGTCTCTCCTTTTTTTTTTTTAACCTGTCTTTTGTCATGTGAGAACACAGTGTTCCTCTCTTCTGGAAGACACAGTGTTCAAGATACTATCTTGAAATAAGCGATCAGACCTTCACTAGACAATGAGCTTGATAGTGCCTTAGTCTTGGATTTCCAGCCTCCAGAACAGTGAAAAATACGTTTCTGTTCTTTATAATTTACCCAGTCTAAGGTATTTTGTTGTGGAGTACAAAATGGACTAAGACAAACTTGAATAGACGTTTCTTAAAAGAAGATCTACAAATAGCCAATAAACACATGAAAAGATGCTTAACATTGCTAATCATGAGAAGGATGCAGCTCAAAACCACAATCTCCTTTATAACCACTAGATTGTTTATGGTAGAAAAGATGGACAATAACAAAAGTGTTGATAAGGATGTGGAGAAATTAGAACCCTTTTGCATTGCTGATGGGAATGTAAAATTGTGTGACTACTGTAGAAAACTGGTAGTTTCCTTCCAAATTAAACAGAATTATCATATGATCCAGCAATTCCCCTTCCAGGTATATACCCAAAAGAACTGAAAGTATGGACTTAAACAGATATTTGTATACCCATTTTTATAACAGCCTTATTCCTAATAATGAAAAGTGAAAACTACACAAACATCCATTGATGATGAGTAAACAAAATGTGGTATATAGGTACAATGGAATATTATTCAGTCTTAAAAAAGAATGGAATTCTGCTACATGTTACAACATAGTCAAACTTTGAAAACACATGAAGTGAAATAAGCCAGTTACAAATGGACAAATATTGTATGGTTCCACTTGCATGAAGTAACTAGAATAATCAAATACATGGTAGAAAGTAGAACATAGAACAGCAGTAGTTTGGAAGAGAAGAGAATGAGGAGCTATCATTAATGAGAACAGTTTTTCTATTATGAGTAACAGGAGAAATCTTGAAAATTAACAAATATGTGGAAATTACACAATATGCTATGAACAACCAATGGGTCAAAGAAGAAATCAGAAGAGAAATTTAAAAATGTGTTGAAGAAAACAAAAATGGAACTACAACAAAACTGATAGAAGGCAGCAAAAGCAGATTTAAGAGGGAAATGCATAGCAATAAATGCCTACAACAAAAAAGAAGAAACTAAGCTTACAGTTATCAGAAGGAAATAAATAATAAACAGTGGAAATAAATAATAAAAACAGCAGAAATAAATGAAACAAAGACTAAAAAAAATTTAAAAATCAACAAAATCAAATCAATCATTGGTTTTTTGAAAATATAAAATCAAAACCTTAGCTATACTAAGAATAAAGAAAGCTAAAATAAAGTCAGAAACAAAAGAGGAGACATTACAGCTGATACCACAGAAATACAAAGCATTGTAAGAGATTAGTATGAACAGTTACATGCCAATGGATTGGATAACCTAGAATAAATGGAGAAATCCCTAGACACAAATAGCCTACCAACAGTGGATCAAGGAAAAATGCAAAATCTAAACAGACCAATAAAAAAGAGATTGAATAAAAAAATTAAAAATCTCCCATTGAAAAAAATTCCGGGAACTGATGTCTTCACCAGTAAATTCTACCAAACATTTCAAGGAAAACTAATACCAATCCTTCTTAAACTCTTCTGAAAATAGAAAAGGAGAGAATACACCTAAATCTATCTTCCTTCCTTCCTTCCTTTCTTTTTTCTTTCTTTTTCTTTCTTTCTTTCTTTTGGCAGGGTCTTACTCTGTCTCCTAGGCTGGAGTGCAGTGGCATGATCTCGGCTCACTGCTACCTCTGCCTCCTGGGTTCAAGTGATCCTCCTGCCTGCCAAGTAGCTGGGATTACAGGTGTCTGCCACTGTGCCCGGCTAATTTTTGTATTTTCAGTAGAGACAGGGTTTCACCGTATTGGCCAGGCTGGTCTCAAACTCCTGACCTCAAGTGATCTGGTCACCTTGGCCTCCCAAAGTGTTGAGATTACAGGCGTGAGCCACTGCACCTGGCCCTGAAACTTTTTAATGAGGTCAACATTACCTTGACATCAAATCCAGACCTGGACATTACAAGAAAAGAAAATTACAAGCCATTATCTCAGAAGAACATAGATGTAAAAATCCCCAACAAAATACTAGCAAACTAAAGTCAACAGCACATTAAAAGAATGATTTACCATGATTAAATGAGACTTATCCTATGGATGCAAGGATGTTTCAACATATGCAAATCTACAAATGTGACATACCGCATTAACAGAATTATGGACAAAAATCATATCATCTTGTTAGATGCAGAAAAGCATTCAGCCAAATTTAATGTCCTTTCATGATAAAAAACTTGCAACAAATTAGGTATAGAAGGAATGTACCTCAATACAATAAAGGCATATATGACAAGCCTATAGATGATATTATATTCAATGGTAAGGTTGAAAGCTTTTTTTCTTAGACACGAATGCACATTCTCACTATGTCTGTTCAATATCGTACCAGAAGTCTTTGCCAAAGCAATAAAGGAAGATAAAAGGCATCCAAACAGGAAAGGAAATAGTGAAATTGTTGCTGTTTGCTGATGATGTAATCTTGTATATATCAAACCCTAACGGCCCCCCCAAAAATCTGTTAGAACTAATAAATGGATACATTAAAGTTACAGGATACCAAATCAATATAAAAACAAGTAGCATTTCTGGCCAGGTGTGGTGGCTCATGCCTGTAATCCCAGCACTTTGGGAGGCTAAGGTGGGTAAATCACTTGAAGCCAGGTGTTTGAGACCAGTCTGGCCAACATGATGAAACCTCATCTCTACTAAAAGTACAAAAATTAGCTGGGCAAGGTGGTGGGCACCTCTAGTCCTAGCTACTCAGGAGGCTGAGGCAGGAGAATTGCTTGAACCCAGGAGGCAGAGGTTGCAGTGAGCTGAATTCACACCACTGCACTCCAGCTTGGGTGACAGAGTAAGACTCTGTCTCAAACAACAACAACAACAACAAAAACTAGTAGCATTTCGGCACACTAGCAATGAACTATCAGAGAAAGAAATCAAGAAAATAATCCTATTTATAATATTTACAAAAAAGTAAATACTTAAGAATAAATTTAATCAAGGGTATGAAAAATCTGTAGACTGTAGACTGAAAATGATAAACTATTGATAAAAGAAATTGAAGAAGACACAAATAAATAGGAAGATATTCCATGTTCATGGATTGGAAGAATTAATTAGTGTTAAAGTGTTCATATTACCCAAAGCAATCTACGGATTCCATACAATCCTTATCAAGATTCCATTATGCCCTTTCATACAGAAGCAGAAAAAGAAATTCTAAAATTCATATGGCACTACAAAAACCTCTGAATAGCTAAGACGATCTTGAGCAAAAAGAAGAAAACTGGAAGGCTGGGTGTGGTGGCTCATGCCTGTAATCCTGGCACTTTGGGTGGCTGAGGCGGGTGGATCACGAAGTCAAGAGATTGAGACCATCCTGGCCAACATGGTGAAACCTTGTCTCTACTAAAAAAAAAACAAAAATTAGCTGGGCGTGGTGGTGCATGCCTGTAGTCCCAGCTACTCAGGAGGCTGAGGCAGGAGAATTGCTTGAACCCAGGAGG